GCTTAGCCTTCCTTTCTGGAGGCATTCGCAACACATGCCCAAGCCATCGCAGCTGTGACTTCTCATTCTGAAGAAGCAAAGCTCATTTTATCATAATGTTATATTTGAAATTTTTCGGTTTTGGGAGCAGTTCACTTAATAAACCACGTGCTCCGTGAATTCATGTTAAAGGTGCGTTTGCGCGGTGAAAGCGGACTTCTCAGGTCGATTAGTCGAACATAATTTGACGGCCGACGCCATATAAATGCTGTGAAAAATGTGCTTTTTGATCTAGGTAGTTGGATTGCATGGCGCAAGAAAGCGTCTTCCGCCTTTCACAGCAGCTGGTATCCGCATTGACGAACACCGAGAACAACAAACTAGTCTTTTCAAATTTTTACGACTGTCTCTTGTTTCCTGACCGCCATCATTCATCGGAGAACATGCGCCTAAAGTCATTCCAAAAACTGTTGTCGATCGTTAATCAGCTGCAGAACGTACAGGGCGGAGCTGAAAACATTACGTCGGTCAAAACGTTGATTGGTAAGTGAGCTTGTTTGATCTTAACTCAGTGGATTGACAGTGAATATTACTTTGAATTAATTAGCTGCATATTATTAACGTGCGGATGAAAAGGGCACGATCATTCTGATTTTCTTATCTAGGAGTGCACAAACTATCGAGGAATTACCCTTCTGCTTGTGCTGACGAAGGTGTTTGCGCGAATTATCCTTCGATGGTTGAAGGATGCAACAGATGACTCATTGCGAACAAATGAAACAGGCTTCCGAGCGCATACTCGTTCATACACATATCTGTTCTCAAAAAATTTGCGAGTAGAGCAGGAGCTTTCACCTCTCCTGGCATGCGACGTTTCTCGATTTCCGTGCAGTCTTCGACTCAGTTCATAGCCAGACGGTGCGGAGTGTCATTTGACGCAATGGAATCCCACGGATGATAGTAAGCCTGATTGAACGTCTGCACGAAGGAATGAAATACGCCATCCGAATTGAAGGATCATTTTGGATTGCTTTAAATTCACCATTGGAGTTCGTAAAGGAGAAAAGCACTCTCCCTTATTGTTTAGCCTCATGGCAGACAATGTTTTGCAGAAAAACGTCGTACAAAATTAAAGTGAGGGACATACCGTATGTCACCGACGCAGTTTGAGATATCTGGCCGTGTCTCTAACAGACATCGAGTGCGTCGATGAGATCGTGCTGTTGAACGACTCCGCAAGTGGCCTGACAACTTTCACTGAAAGCTTATGCGACACTGCTGTGGGAGTGGGGCTACATTTCAGCGCCAAGAAGATGAAGGTTTTGAGGGCGGCCGCCAGCTCGAGAATATTATTGGATAGTATTGCGATGGACGTTTTTGTAGTTTTGTCATAGTCGTCTGTGATCATCTGCAGTCTAGGCTTAAACAGCAGAGTAACCCAGGTTTATTATGTTGGACCCTTTGACGAGGTGGACCATTTCAAGTACCACGGAACTCTGGCAACGATGGCGACATTGATCCTGAATTGAATCGGCGCACCAGACTGGCATTGACAAATTATGGCAAGCTGTATTACAATTGGAAGGATCAGACTCTGTGAACGCACACGATGATCACCATTCTGACACCAGCCGTACTCGCGGTACTCGTGTGCATTCTTGAAATATATGCCGTCCTGATGCATCACGAAGCTTGTTTAGACAACTTCCTATAATGCTGTCTGCGCATGTGTTCGAAATGCGATGTAAAATCAAGCCGCGAAAGAGCAGATAACTGACGATGGCTGGTCTGAGAAAGCTAACAGATGAACTGATACCGGTGCAAGGCTGGGTTGATAAAACGGCAGAAGAGAATGTAAATAAATTTAAAACTTTTCTTGGCAATCGTGAATTAGCCGAGACGCGTTGGAAGATTATACAAATCGTTGAAACATCTCGTTAATCTTCCCTAATATCAATCTGAAGTACCGCTTCTAACGGTTGACATCATAGATATAGGTTATTCTGCTGTTTATCTCTGTTAACCTCAAATGACAATAATAAAACAATTGCAACGTCTGCAGTTTCTTATACTTATCGACTATATCCTGAATTGGAGTCAAATCTAATCGAAATTCAGCACGGTCAACGTTTCCTTGTCTTAGTATACTCGAATGACTGATGCTTAGTGTGAATTCAGCAGAACTGTTTTCCGTAAGTCAGATTACCCTTATATAAACTATTCATTATAATTGGCTTTATGATATGAGTTGATATATGACGCGGAAGCAGCACAGTACGTTGGACCTATTTCTGTGTACTTTCGCTGCTCGTCCTACTGACTATGTGGTATTTTTATTACAGTAATGCATACAGTGCCCAATATATTTAATCTTTTATGCTTTATTATCGAATCCGAAAGATTGTTGCAGTGCAATACAAATTTGGTAAATGTGCAAATAAAAGATAAAATCTCGCATTGGTGTTATAATCACGTGCTAACAACACCGTGTACTGAAATCGTATGCTAGAGTAGCACAGTAGCAAAGTTAGAAATGGTCTGTGATGTGAATCGATTTTCCCTGGAGCTAATAACATAAGGAAAAACGGACATAATAGAAGAGCTCGTTCTCTTATATCATACTGCCATTGCTATATTATTCTTTTTTCCGAGTTTTCTTGTACTGAAATTGGCGTTGTTGCGGAACGGATGAAAGAAATTCATGTAAAACGGATAATCTCCTTACTGTTTTCCTTGAAATAAGAAGATTATTCCTTTTCAGTTTTTGATACCGGATTAATTGGTTGGATTGCTGACTTCACGTAGTCTGCCTTATTTTATCATTTCGTAACCAACGGCTTGTTGATTAAATTGTCCGAGGTTGCTCAGTCAGTAGAGCATGGAGCTCAGAGCTGAGAGGTCCCGGATTTGAACCCCTTTTCGGTCACTCACCTTTATTCTTTTCGAGGTTGATAAATGAGTACCACTTTGTATGGAGGAAGCAAGAGACTACTCACTATTCTTGCCACTGGCTGCTTTCGACTCTACCCTTAGAATAAGGCGCTCCTGGCTGATGGTATTGTAATGGGAACCAGAGCTTTACCAATTACTTCATGAAAAGAAGGGCGCCAGAATTATAAAGAAACCCGGAATTCCAAATGTTGCAAACTTTCCGTTACTTTTTGGTAAAATTTGGAATTAGAATTACATGAAAACAATGATTTGCAAACGCATAATTTGTTATTCGTTTCGTTTAGAAAATGCAGAGTTGCTCAGTCGTTCCAGTGACAGCTGTGCTGTACTCTACTTCGTTCTTCTGTTGAGCGATGCCAGTCGTGCCAAGGATGAATGGTCTAACGGTGACATCACAAACAGTACTTTCAATAACGATTTCAGTATCAAATCTCTGTGCGAAGCTGTAAAAGTAGGTTCATATGTGCATATGCCAGTTTCGAAGTGACTGCCGCTTTTAGGAACATGCACATAGCAGTACCTCTGCAGCAAACATATTCACCTGTGACGTGTATTGTGACTGGGTTACAGCGTTTCCGAGCTTCTTTCGATTTTCACAGGCTCCCCGGAAGGATTCGCAGAAAAAGCCCACGAAAGTTTCATCACAGTCAATGAATGAAGTTGTCGATAGGCGGAACGCGAGTTTCTGGCCTCTGTACATACCACTGGCTTCACTGAAATTGCAGGTAAACTAACAGATTTTTTCTCGCATGATCTGCGTGACATCGCTTGTACTTTAGAGCAGATCTGATAGACGGCAAACTTTACATTCGATGATGCCTTTACTATCAGACCTAAGCGAGAATGATTTTGCTAGGTTCGGCATGCCTGCTCTCTACGAACCAGTAATGCTGATGACAGGCGATTTTGGCATCATGCACAACTTCTCAGTTCTTAATATCAGCCGTCTAAAGTTGATAGTGCAGGGATTGCTGATTGGCGTTGAATCAGGCTGTATTGTTCTTGATCAGGTAATCATTGAACTGGTGAATACATATTAAATACGTCGCTTCACAGCTTTTGCCATCCATTCTTTGAGAAAACAGTTGCTTATGTATTTGTTAGTCATTACTGTCTCACGATTCTGAACAGCTTTGGCGCAAATAACTCAATTATTAACCATTAGTTTCAGGTTGGTCTGTTTGTATAACGCTTTTACGTAATAGGATGGAAAGAAAGAAGCAGAATGCTGACTACCGATGGTATATCAGTCTCTCTGACATTTTCATAATGGTCTTCATTTGATACATCTTTTGTCATGGAGCTTATGGTATGGCGCTAATCTCGATGTGGATACTATCGAATAGAAATGTATTATTTTTATGAACATGACCTATTGCTAGACAATCACTATACCACATAGTCTCCTGTTTTTTCTTAGTCAAATATTGCTCGTTTACATGTATCGTGCCAAATTTGCATCCAAAATCTTTTGACTGGCAGTCCATTACCCTAATAGCTAAGCTACCTTGTCACGAATAGAAAGTGTTAGCTAAGTAGCAAATAGACAGTAACAGACAGCTAGTAGGCAGTAACGACAGCTAACAGATGAATAAACAGTAGCAACTGAGCTACGCATTCGCTAACTTCAATTGAATAACGATCGATTTTTCTTCACGGATGATATAGATATGCTTAATTAATACGTCATTATTACGGTAGGATAAAACTCGACTTATTTCACGCGTGTTTACTACGCGTTTGATCTCGATAGTGAAAGCTGTTTTATCACTTCGTCCCAATAAGGGTGCAGTGAAATACTTTTGTCTCTGTTCGTTCATTAGATTAGATGATATGAGCTTTATCTTTCTGGTTAAAAATGTTTCTTTCACGGCATATTCCAGTCATCTGTAGTATATGTTCGTTTGTAGCATTTTTTACAACTCTCAAGTTCTTTTCGCGTACATTCATAACGAATGAATTATGAATCTTTTGTGTCATTTTTCCATCAATCCTTTGTGAAGTAAATCTACATTGCGCTAACGTAATTAAGTTACCAAACTGTTTTTTCTCCAAAATGACCTTTTAAGGTGAAACCACTACCACATGGTTTATGACTGGAAAAAGATACGTAAACTGATTCCATGGTTGCCAGCACGCCTTTGTGTTGATAGTCATAGAATAAGAAGACGTATCCGTTTCGGTTCTTCCTACTGTGCATAATCGTGTTCTTTGTTTCTTCCTGTTGATTTTGAATTTTATGATTTCTATGCCGATGCGCATAGCAGGCAGAATTAATTTCTTTGGCAATGGAGTTAAGTTTTTACATGACCAACTATTTGCTTGTGCCTTTTACCATGGAAATACTGTCGGTGCTTTTGCAATCATTTATCGAGTTAGATATGCATCATGGTTGGTAAGATTAGTTATTTCTGGGATTAAGATCGATGTCTATTGGATACACTGAGTGCACTCGATCAGCAAACGCGGTGGCCTGTTGCACGCAAGCTGTCACAACGTGAAACAAACTGAAACTACTAATCCATATGGAACATAGACGTGAAGATAAAATTTTTTATCCTATTCTCTTAATGCAGAAGAACATAGAGCCATAAGCTATATCCAGCATGAAGTACGTAGCTATACTTAAGTTTATCAGGGTCACGAGTTTTTCTTTGGGTATTGCGCAATTTCGATTAACTGAGATATCTAACCAAATTTCTTGTGCCTTAGGTACGACAAATGGCTGTTTGGCAAGAAAAGGATTTTCTCCAGTTGAGTTCTGATGTGATCTCTATCTTACAGCCGGTTTGGAAAGCTGGATACTGGTAAGAAAGCACGAGAATTGTTTTTCTATAAGATATTTCTTTGTTTTATTTATTCGAGCTAATTTGACAAGGATTTAGAATCAAGAGCATCTTGTCTCAAAATTCATCTTAGACATTTCAGTGCTCTGCCATTGAATCACCTGTTTTTAGTGCTGTCTTGGCTACTTCATAATGATTTAACAGGCAGCGCATTGCGACCAAATTCTTTGTCCTTTCTCATCATCTTTTATATGCGGTGTTTCGTCCTGTCTTCCTTCCACCGACGAGGTACAGCTTTTTTCACAAGATCGGCTGGAGTTTTCTTCGAAATTTCAGCGGCTTGCAGCGTTATGCTCAGAACTCGCATTTGAACTGTACAACGACTTAATGTTGATGTTTGTCTTTTTATTAATGCTTTACGTTTGCAAGATTTTAGGTTACGTGTTCGTCGAAAAGATGATTTTCACAATCTGCTATTTCAGCTCTTCAAGTAATTATTATTGTGCCGCATATAAAATTTAGTATGTACAAGTTCTCCAAAGTTTCGGATCATACTCGATCCGTCTTAAGGGATCGATATATTACAGATTCGATGCTGCAATATGTCTGTGTAATTAGGTACAAACTTTACTATTGAGGTTTCAGCCTAGACAGTGGAAGTTGCTTGATGACTTCGTTCCGGAGCGAACTTAGTTTTATTCCGATGTCTTTACTCACGCACTGGTTTGATTGTATTACCAATGGTTTTTTATCTTCTGATTTACAAAGTTTCGCTCTCGCTCTCCCTTCATATGATCCCATGGCATGATATATTGTTCGTGTACTGCATGTTGCATAGCCGCCGAATT